TAAAGTTCCCAAAATTTGAAGAAACTTTGTATAAAATAAATTTTGAAATTAAAATTAAAAAATAAATTTTATTTTTCTTTAGAAAATCAAAACTTTTCCAAAATTTTCATTTTTTGAAAAAAAATCCAAAAAAAATCAAAGAAAATGCAAAAACAAAATTACAATTATCAGCTAAAATTTAAAATCGCACTCAACTTTTAGCAATTTTTTTTTTTTAAATGAAAATTTGGAAGATTTTTAGCGGATAATTGTAACTTTAATTTTTACCACTAGCCTAGTGGTAAAATACCTTGCCATTTGTTTTTATTTTCAAATCATGTAAAATGACGTCATTTTATTTCATTTGAAAACGACGTCGTTTCACTTAACGCCAACATTAAATGTGTAATTAACACTACTGTTTTAACTATGGATTCACGGTGTGTTAATATGACCAGTTAATCTTAAAATGCTTAATAAACTAAAAAGTTAACAAAAATACAATATTTTTTTGGCTAGATTCGAATACAGAATTTTTTTTCGTAATTCATGCAAAGTTCATACAACTTTTAGTGATGTTTTTCTAATATGATTATGTTGTATAAATATGATTATAACAAAACATAGTATTGTATATTTAATAGATGTCTAATATAAATACTAAACCGAGAACATTCTTGACCAAAAAAAGAAAAAGAGAACATTCATATTTATCTATTGACTAGTGTGCATATCATATAGTTGTATATTAATGATAACAGCAAGGGATGAGAATATTATAGGCATATTATTAGTTATACGGAATGTCATCTTTACGTTTGGAGCATGTATTAACTTGGTTTGATGTCAGATTTTAAGATAATCAATAAATGCTTTAGCCAAAATAAAAAGATAATCAATAAATCGTGAAATTTTGTCCAACTTGAATATATATATAGATGTGAGCATTTATAAAGAGATTAGATTTAGTTAATGGCGTTTAGTAGTTTTGGAAAGATTGGTTCGTAACTAATTAGGAAAATCGTGTATATATATATATTTCGATTTTTTTTTTCATTTTTTAAATTAAATTTAAATACAGCGGCATATCCGTCCAAAATAACCTTCCAATATTTAATTTTTCTTATTTAGTCAATAACAAATTCTATTTCTAGCCGGTAGGTGAACCTTACTGAACCATAAACTTCTATATGTGTAGAAAGTTCTCTAGAAAACTGTTTGATATATGTCTAACCAAAATCGGTCATGGATACCCATCACGAATAATATTTTTGTTGATAAAACTGTATATAATAAAAATATTAATTTTGTATGTAATTTTTGTTTTTCAAATTATATATACTGTTTATATAAATTTGTATTTATGATTTATATTAATTTTTTTAAGTAGGCTGAAAAATATTTTTAAACACACTATATTTATAGATTTAAATTCCTTTTGTAATTTAAATAAAAAAAATTAATTATAAGTGTTGTGAATTTTATTGTAGTCATTAATTAAATTACAGTATATGTTATTTTACACTCCCTCCGTTTCATTTTAATTGTCATTTTAGGTTTTTACACAAAAATAAAAAAAAATTAATTTTACATATTTTCAAGATAAAACACACAATTACCTATACACCTAACCACTTTTCAATCAATAAAAAAATAGAATATCATAGAAAACTAATAAATTTTGCCTCGAAACTCTAAAACGACAATTATTTTTATACGAATTTTTTTCTCTAAAATGACAACTAATTCAAAATTGAGAGAGTATATATATAATTATTTTTAGTTAATTAATGTTAGATTTAATGATTTGCAACATTTTCAAAGTAAAACGTGGCAGATGGTGTTACGTTTGCTCTGCATTTTCAATTCTGAGTTAATATTCTGGCGCAACATTTTCAGCTCAAGATCTAAACTCAGTACTATTTCTTTTCATTTAAGTCATGGGAGGTGGATCTAAACCTGCATAATAATGACCTATATAAAGCTTCAAATCATTTCTGAAATTGTTCTGAGAGATTTAAAAAAAAAAAAAAAAAGATGCATCTTATCATATAAATCTAAACCATCATACATCAGTTAATATATGTAGGTGAAAGATCGTGGAACCCACCATTATAAGGATTCTTATGAAAAACAAAAGGAATACTGTTATATCCAGCTCCTTTAGATAAAGATGTAGGTCCCAATTCCAATAAAACAAATTATGAAAATGCCTTAACGAAGAGTAGAAGTTAGTTTAAAAAGTAGTGGCAGAGTAAAAATATTCCAAAAGGTAAAATGAGAGTAATAGTTAGTAGCGATTTTTTTTTTTTTAAAATAAAAGGCTTTACTTAGTAGCGATCTTATTTCAATAATATGGATGAGTGAGCTCAAAGGTGCATATTTTAATAATAGGTGTATATTGGTCACTAATATAATACAAAATAATCATTGGAAAACTTTAATAAAGTTATATTACTCTGAGAAAACAAATTCTTCAAATATTTTGATTAAATAGAGAATTTTACAAAATTACGGTCAAGTATTTTCTTATATTTGTTTCAGTATCTTATATATTAAAACAGAAGTCATAACTCATTTTATGTATGGTTTTTTAATTTGACCAATCTTAGAAAATTTATTAAACTATACATAACATCATTATATAATATCTTTTCACATCTTTAATTTTATTTGAAATATAAAAAAATATTATTATGAAAATTCTAACAATATCTTTGTAAGATCTTTTAGATTTTGAAAAAGGTATTTAACCAATTATTTAATTGAAATTTTAATATCAGAAAATATAATTAAAAATTATTCATTTTTGATTTATAACAATATTAGTTAAATAATTTTAAAAGCATCCTAAAAATTTTATTTTCTATTATATATGTCCAACTTAATTTAATTTCTACATATATTTAAAATTTAGAAATAATACAACTATTACTATCTTATATATTAAAACCTAAGCCACAACACATTTTATGTGTGATTTTTTAATTTCGACAACCCTTAAAAGTTTTACTAAATTCTACATAACATCGTTAGAAAATATCTTTTCATATCTGTAATTTTATTTAAAATACAAAAAATATTTTTATAAAAATTCTTACAATTTCTTTGTAAGATCTTTTAGATTTATGTAAAAGATATTTGCGAAAATTATTTAATTGAAATTTTAATTATCAGAAAATATAATTAAAAAGTATTCATTTTTTAATTTTAAAAAAGTTATGTAAAATAATTTAAAAAGTATCCGAAAATTTTTATTTTCTATTATATATGTCCAACTTAATTTAATTTCTACATATATTTAAAATTTAGAAATAAAACAATTATTATTGTCTTATATATTAAAACAGAAACCTGAACTCATTTTATGTGTGATTTTTTAATTTAGACCATCCTTAAAAAAATTATTAAATTCTACATAACATCATTAGATAGTATATTTTCATATCTTTAATTTGAAATACAAAAAAAATATTATTATGAAATTTCTAAAAATATCTTGGTAAGATATTTTAGATTTATGTAAAAGATGTTTTCAAAAATTATATAATTGAAATTTTAATTATCAGAAAAATAATTAAAAATTATTCATCTTTGATTTATAAAATTATGTAAAATAATTTTAAAAGTAGCCAAAATTTTCTCTTTTCTATTATATATGTCCTACTTAATTTAATTTCTACATATATTTAAAATTAATAAAAACGATTATTACTGTCTTATATTTTAAAACAGAAAGCATAACTCATTTTTTTTGTTTGTACCACCCTTCAAAATTTTATTAAATTCTTTATAACATCACTAGATAATATCTTTTTTTTTTGTAACACAGATAAAGATTTCATATCTTTAATTTTATTTCAAAAACAAAAAAAATATTATTGTGAAAATTCTAACAATATCTTTTTAAGATCTTTTAGATTTTTGTAAAAGATATTTTCAAAAATTATTTAATTGAAATTTTAATTATCAGAAAATATAATAAAAAATTATTCATTTTTGATTTATAACAAAATTATGTAAAATAATTTTAAAAGTATCCTAAAATTTTTCTTTTCTATTATACATGTCCAACTTAATTTAATTTCTACATATATTTAAAACTTAGAAATAAACAATTATTATTGTCTTATATATTAAAACATAAGTCATAGCTCATTTGATGTGTGATTTTTTTTAATTTGGACTACCCTTAAAAGAATTATTAAATTCTACTTAACCTCATTTGATAATATCTTTTCATATCTTTAATTTTATTTGAAATAAAAAATATTATTATGAAAATTCTAACAATATCTTTGAAAAATCTTTTAGATTTTTGTAAGAGATATTTTTGGAAATTATTTAATTGAAATTTTAATTATCAGAAAATATAATTAAATTTATTCATTTTTGATTTATAACAAAATTATGTAAAATAGTTTTAAAAGTATCCTAAAATTTTGTTTTCTATTATATATGTCCAACTTAATTTAATTTCTACATATTTTTAAAATTTAAAAATAAAACAATTATTACTGTTACATAATAAGTTTCTTAAAACTTTTACAAAAATACAAATTTATAAATTTTACTGTAATAATATTATAAGCCACACAAACATTATTATAAAGTTATATAACATTTAAAATTAAATTATATTAATATATTAATAATTTTTATTGTATAACCTAAAATTGTTTAGTATTAAAAAAAAACGGCACGGTTGTACGAGTCAAGATCTAATTTTAATTAAAAATTGAGTCAAAGCACAAAACTTGTTTTATTTATCAGTTTTAAACATTTTCTATGTGAAATTATCGTTACATATCATCAAACATCTATATTATTCTAACCAACCAAAAGGTCCAAAAAACTTTTAAAAAAACCATAAAAATCATGTTCTTGAAAGATCATCATAAGCAATCGAAATCATCCAAAAATCCAGCATAAATTAAAACATCTCCAACAAAACCAAAAAGAACAAAAGAGTACATTCTCTCAAAACCAAATATTAAAAGAACATAAGAGAATCCTCTGGATCACTCAGGAGGAAGGTTGAACAAGGCCTTGATGTTTTGAACAATTGTGCTGATCACCATATCCACTTCGTTCACTGAATTCTCAGACACCATTCTGCCCCCACTGTTTTGACCAGTAGAGAGAAGGATCTGAAAAGCCAACGTGAGTAAAGTTCCACCATCCTCAGCTCCCATGGAGCCTTGGCCGTCGCTTGAGATGGTGAAGCCAGAAGGTAGAATTGGAATCTCCAAAGGGTCGACATCCCCGGAGGCAGCGATGCTCATTGCAGCCATGTCGAGAGGAGCGTACACTATCATACCTCCTAATGCGTCCATGTAACACTCTTGTAGCATCATCATCGTCTTGTTTGGTTCTTGTACCATATTTTGGCCATCATAACATGGTAGCGTAGGCTAATAATTGGATATAAATATAAGTAAAGATTATTAGATGAGTTGTGGTATAACAACCAAAGATTAGTTATTAAGAGAGAGTTCAGGAATTGTATGTACCTGAAGTAGACTGATGTAGTTTGTTTCACTTAATCCGGTCGAAATGCGACCGGTCTCAGTGATTGCGTTTCCATGACAAAGAACGTCCCACTGTTTTGCATGCAAACATGGTTTGTTGTTAATACCATTGGCCCATCATCCTATATAGTTGTCGATAATAATGCAAGCAGGTAAAGAAAATAAATAATGAAACCTGGTGACGAAAGTCGTTGCTTCTCAGCAAGTTGAAGACTTGCGAAGGAGTGCTAGGAATTGAGAGACAATATGCAGCACTGGCAACTAAACCGGTTACTTGACCGACTTCCTCGTTCACCCGCGTCGAGATTCTGACTCCTCCACATCTCGATTTCCGCGGGAACTCAGTATTCCCGGGCATGATCAACATTTCGTTGAAGTTCTTCAACATTCTTTCCCCTAATTTCATCAAACTCTTCCTTCCTTCCACTGTCCGTAAAACTGTCAAAAACATTATATCATAAACATTAGTGAGAATTTTTCCACTATCACAAATTACGACATTGTATCTTAATTCAATTTCCTTTGGTATAAGTGAAACTTTTTGCACTATATCACAAATTAAAATATTGATTATGATTAAGAAATATATATATTTGATTAGTATAGTTAAGAAAAGATGAAACATACTTTCACCCCAGTCAGTATGCGGAATGGTTGTGGCCGAGGAGAAAGTCATTCTCTCACACATTCTCTCAAGGGTAACGATCCAACGCTTAGCTCCATAGCCCAAACCGCTACTTAAAAGATCTTGATACACCCGCTGCTTCTCGGGTCTATGGTCCACTTCCACATGCTCTATCCACGTTACCTGAAATATTTTAATAACATCAATTAAGCTAATATAATGCATACATTTATACCGATTGTAGACATGTCGAGATCAATCAAGGGAATGGAGATACCTTGCTCCGATCATTGGACAAGGCTCGGATGAGAACACCAGAAGGACGTTTATAACAAGACTGACTGACTTTGTGGTCAGAATCAATGAGTGACACATCAGCAATAATCCAGTGCCCTTCCTTGATATTTCGGCAGCATCGAACGATCTTAAACTCCCTTGGTGGCACTAGTGGAGACAATATGTGTAGCTGCTGCTCCCATACCTATCAACATTCATAAATTCAAAAATTCATTACATATATACATTAAGATAGAATCATCAGAATTTAGAGTAGATCAGTCCATCTCGAAGCTAAACTTGAATTGAAATCTCTAAATCCAATGCAATGGTATACGTAATAACTAGATTTGATAATGTTTAAAGTTCCAGAGTTAAAATACTTCTTACACTAATTAACTCGGATCCGAGCGTAAGAATCGTCCTGGCCGTGTTCACGATCGTTGGAAAAAGCGTTTTCCATTTCTCCTACAATAAAAAAGTGCATGTCACATTTTTCTACAAGAAAGTCCAGCAGTAAGGAGGGCAACATTTTTTTCCCCAAAATATATTTAAACTATGTGAAACTGCAAAAATAAAAAGCACTTATGAAGTTCTTATGATTTAGACAAATATGTATACTACTATATAGTTTTATGGATCAAATATATAGTTTAATAAAAGCAGATCAAATGCAAATGCAGCAGTTAATTTTATCCTAATTAATATAATCCTAATATTTCATTTTAATGCATAACTGAACACATACCGAATCTAAGAACATATTAACCAATCTGGTTGCCTCTATAGAAACCTCCCTGACAACTCTAGAAGACTCGACACAAGCACTCGAGTTCCTGAATTGTTTGACTGACTGCGAGAATTTCTCATAGCTGTCTTGCTCAATCACATATGTTCCATCTATAGACGACATAACCCAAAGAGAAGCTTGGTCGGTAGAAAATAGCCGCTTAAGCTCTTCAACCGCACGTGTCGCAGTGTCAGACAGCTGCAAAGTATCCATTTGGGGTCGTAGTTGTGGTTGGATATTTGGAGATTCTGATGAGCTAGGTCGCTCGAAGGGATTATTTGGATTATATCCGGGTGAGGTGAGAGTTTCAAAGGTTTGCTGTCTTTGAACAGAAGTGAATGAGTCCATCATGGTTTGTTGATGCTTGTTCTTGTCCGCCAACAAGTCACGCTAGAATTTATTTAAAACATGTGTATTAGTATGGATTATCAGTTAGAAATAACAATAAAAAAATTGCATATTTTATGATATAGTACTCCATTTTTTTTACTCTTACAATGGTTTTATATAAATAATTGTATCGTTAATAAGTAGAATTCACAAAATCATCATATTGAACAATCGTTAATAACTTAATACAATCGGTAATACATAACTAAATGTATAGATCATATAATATTGTTCTGGTACGTGTACCATATTCAACATACTAGTGTCTAAGTTTTAAGTTATTTTATCATTTTCCGAGTAGAAATAATATACATGAAATATATGATGATGGATCAGACAAAAATCACACATTTCTAATATTGATATAAGTTTTTGGTTTAGAGCAGTATTTTTAAAACCGGACCAGAAGGTGAACTAGATAATTATTTGGATCACAGTTCAAAATAGTTCAACCAGTCAAACCTGATTCAATATGGTTCAACCCTTTAACTATATAGAAATTTGAAAGTAAAATTAGTAAATATAATATATAGTTAAAATATAAATAAATATCAAATGTAAATATTATAAATATTAACTATTTTTGTTTAGATGGTTTTATAGATTTTTGATATTTGTAATGGCTTTTATTAAGTTTAGTAATATTGAGATTCAATCCAACTATTTAACCGGTTTATTGTCGAACCATGTTATTAGATTCAACCCGGCTACATGACCGGTTCATGGTCGAATCTGGTCCAATCACTGGATCGGTTAAGTTAAAAACACTGGTTTAGAGAAATGAAATCAAATGATTACCTCTCTTCTGAGATGAGTGTTTTTGAAACGCTGCTCTTGGAGACTGAGTTCGCGTTCAATTCCGCCAAAAGGAGGACCACCACAAGGTGGACAAGTCACAGTTTGTAAAGCCTCTAACAATACAGCATTCTCACATTGGATTGTTTCATTTTCTCCTCGAAGCAATTTGTTTGAATTTCTCTCATCTTGAGCCTATAGCAAATGAAAAATATATTAAATAAAATAGCAATTGGCTTAATATCAAATATAAATATTTGCTAAGATAGTTACTTTGCTTTGAGTTCTTTTGTTCTGAAACCAAAACTTGATTTGGTCTATCTCGAGGTCCAAATCTCTGCATAGCTTTTGTCTCTCTGATTCGTTTGGATGAGGACATTCTTTGAAATAACTTCATTTATAAAAAAAAATTAAAACAGTGATTAAAAACTCACTAAATTTTTAAAACGCATAAAGATTGATAAGTAAATTTACGCTTCTAGTATCTGAATCTGTTGATGACTGTGACGGTGAAAACCTCTCTTCTCTGTTGACATGGCGTTTACTGAAGTATACTGCTCGTTGTTTGGGCTTCCATCACCATCATAATCCATTTTGTTCTTCACAATGGAGACTGGAGAAGTTGATTTGCTTGGTGTTTTTTTTTTTTGTTAATTCACAAGATAGTGAGAATTTATAGGGAAAAGGTGGTCCAAGGCTAATAAAAAATATATATAAATTAAAAAAAAAATTGAATTAAAGGGGAAATATAAATATTTCCTATTAGAATGGGTACTGTATATGTTAAAAAGGTAATTCTTAAATTTTCTTAAGTCAAATATGAAGTAGAGATATATACTACATTTGTCTTGTGTACAATGTCCTGAGGTGAACCACACACACACACACACACCTTAAAACATTTTTGTTGAGGATTAGCTAAAACCAATTAATGGTTCACTGTTTGTTTACATACAAAAATTATTTCATAAAAATGTTCGAATTAGATGTATGGTGCATTATTCAATAAAATGAGACCAAACATACCGGTTAGAAATTGGATAATCTGTGATTCAACATTGAAAAACGTGAAATTTGAAATTTTTCCATAAAAAAATTTCTCTAACAAAACTAATATAATCGATTATGACCAGTTTTTTTTAATCACGATAAAAATACAAAGCAAAATTTTAGTACGAATCGACAAAGACCGAGTTGCTAGTATCAATCCAGTGTGGCACCCACAGACGTGTTAATATATGAGAACCCAATGAATACGAACACTCAATATATATTGTGAACACATTCGATGGTCAACATCGGCCCACAAACATATCTTACAATCTAGTCAACATAATCGTTATGAATCATCTGATCAACACATGTTTAATAGATCGAATCAACGTTTAAAGTTGAAATCTTGTATTTCTTTTTGTCGCCTATACCCATCTGTCAATCCATATTTGGATTAGACAAGATCAAACTCACATTATTCGAGAATATTCAATCAATCATTATCCAAACAAATCGATGATCGAATTTATTTCTTTTTACGAAAATCAAGCTTAATGTATTTTCCCATATTCAATTATTACACATCTTGACCAACAGATATACTCTTGGATTGGATTCATCAAAGTCATATTTGGATCATCATTAATCTTGTTTCGGTCTGATCCTATCCAAAATAACCTTCCATCATTTTTTCTTCTCTTATTTAGCCGACATCAAATTACAACGAGCGATCTGACCAGGTGGTTAAGCCTTATTGAACCATAAACCATAAACCATAAACCATTTGATGTATGTCTAACCAGAATCGGTCATGGATACCATCACGAGAAAGATGGGTTTCGAACCTCTATCATTAGGGTTGGACATTTTAACCGTTAAATTTGATTTGATTCGTTATTCGCTTTGATATGATCCAAAAAAATCCGGATATCCGTAAACTTTTGAAGCAAAGCAAATACTAAAAATCAACATCCATCAAAATCAAATCACAAATATTAAAATTCCGAGAAACAAATATTTGTTCCGCTCCGACAGATATATACACATGTATATCTTGATTAAATTTAGAGTTTAAAATGTATAAGTTTATATAATTACTATTCTAACATATGATTAATAAAAAAGTTACTTATGAAAGTATTAAATAAAAATGACAATTATAACTTTTTCTTAAGTTTTATCTTATTATTATTGTTAACTAAATTTAAAATTTGCAAAACATATTGTTTGACTACTTCTAATTTTTATTTTATATATCATATAAAAAGATGTTTTTTTATCAACATGTAAAAAAATATTTTAAAGAACAAATTTGAATAAAATTATTTAGATTATTTGTATTAGACAAGATGGATGAGATATCCGTAAATATTTTTAAATATCACAAATACCCATATATTTTATGGATATCCGAAAAATTGAATATTCATATTTTTTACAAAGCAAATCAAATCGAAAAATTAGATATCCTTAATATACGAAACAAGTCACAAATATTAAAAATTTGATTAATATTTTTTTATATATATAATACGGCTAGTATTTGTTCCGTGCACATCCCTATCTATCATGTTTATCAATTTATGCGCCAATTTTTAGGAGAAATACAGACAAGTTACATGATAACAACCTAAACCAACACTTTTGAAATGGATGGTTAGAAAATAAATAATTTTAATTTATTTGACCAAACTACTGTTTTTCACGTTTATAGTCCGTAACCGCCAGGCTGGCTTTATATCTAAGAGCATGTGTATCGCTGGGACAAATATTATTTGTCCTTATATTTTTATATTAATATTTTGGGTTAGAGTTGAATATTTTAATCATCAAAAGAGCATATGCTCATGCCACCTACTTAAGAATGCTATGGGACGTATACAAAATAAAGAACGTCCTCCGTTTAATCGTTATTTTTGATTTAAATTAAATAGAAAAACATGGTAAAGACGAGGGAAGGACGACCGATGCACATGCTCTAACGTCCATTTCTTTATTGACTGGGGTCGTGTATAGCGTGAGGGACGTGTGGACGGCGTTTCCTACTAATTTTACTAATTAAGAGTTCATTTTATAGTCCGGTTGACCAACAAAAAGATTAAAAATCCACTATGTGCCGTTTTCCATAAAAACAAAAGTGATAACTGATAACCGAAGATTTCATTAACTTTAGTTTATTGAAGAGTTTCTTTATTGAAAGACTAATGTATGAATACAAAAGTCGAAACTAGTAGTGATATAACTGGCTCCAAATTTTAAAGAACAGGACACTTTAATTGCCTTTGACAACCGTGACTGGACATGTTGCATTTGTCACCACGTGATTGCTCACACTACCCAGCAACATCCTACAGAAAAAAAACATGGATACTCATTACTCATTAGTCAGTTACCAAATCCTTTACTGTATCTGCTAAATTATGTGTGTATACGTGTCTCTTTCGTCTCTTCATGTTTAAATATAAAGATGTTCGATCAATTTAGTCCGGTTAACAATATCAAAGAGCTAAACCATGTTGTGAACAAAACCATAACCACTAAACATTGATCAATGAAAACCAGAAGAAACCAAGCCAAAGATATACAAACCAAGCGAGTGATACAACCCTAAACTGATCTAGAGTCAAACGGGCAAAAAAGAAAGAAAAAAACAAACTTGAACATATATATCTTCTGAAAATTTTCAGTAACGTAAGTAACTTTTTTTTTTTGAAACACAGTAACGGAAGTAACTATTTATATAAAATTAAATCGAAATTAAATAAACCACAACGAAGCAGTTTCAGTTTTTAATTTATAGGCTACTTCCTCGAAAGCAATTCAAACTACAATAAGAATGCATTACCTTTTGAGAGGACCCAAACCTCGACTGCCTAGAACAATGGAATCGAGTTTTAGATTTTCGACGGCATCGCAAAGTTTCTCCCTTGGATCTCCCCAAAACACTTTTGCCACCACCTTCACCTTTTAAAATAAGATAAAAACTTTGAAGGAAACAAAACAAAAACTGAAAACAATATTAGTTGTAATACTAAATACCTTCTTTGCCCTCGAGAGTGTATCAAGAACATCAAGAACCTCCGGATCATAAGCAAGTCCATACTGTTTAGAGAAGTTAACCTCTCTAAATTCCTCCAGAGGAATCAACGCTGCAATAATTAGTTAGTAATTACTTTAAATGATCACAAAGTGATTTATTTTTTTTTTGTTCACAACATGCTTTTCATTGATAAATATAATACATACGTGAACCAGTTTCCTCAAAGAGGATTTTGCGGGTGTGCTCAGCGTTTTGGGGTTGAACATGAATCAAGATGATGGTGTCTCCATCGTCAAGGAGATTCTCAGCCGTCCACCGAAGAGCTGATTTGCTCGTCGGAGAATAGTCCATTCCCACACCCACGGTACGTGCCTTCACCATTTCCTATCTCTATCTCTTTCTTTTTCTTCGATGATTTGTAAGTGGGAGATTAAGAAAGCTAGCTAGTTTGATTTATAATATAACCTGTTTGCTGGTTTGGAGAATAATTTGCGCACACAGAATTCTTCATATTTAATGATTGCCTTTTCTAATTGACTGTTTTGGGATTATGATGGGGAGATTCTTGAAGTTTCTAGGTATTCTATCTTGCTTACTTTTCCTAAAACACTACAAAAAGTCATTAGGACACATAATTTTCTTTCACTTCTTTTTCTTTCTTCATCACAATATTATTTTTTTTTACTAAGGTTGTACGTATTCTTTGCGTAACACTGTGAATTTCCCATTAACGTCTCATTTCATTTGTCAAAAGAAACATATATTGTTGACATATAAATTGTTTCTTTTTTTAGATTTATAAGTGACTTAAATATATGTTAATCAATGTATTAAATTGGTTTCTAGCCCTGGTGGCCAAACAAATGATGTGTGTCTCTGAAGACCCATAGAAAGTATTTTGGTATGTGGTGTGTTAAAGTGAAGTTATCTTTATATCACTTGCTGTCCAAGAAATTAATATTCTTTGTCAACTTTTAGCAAAGGCGATTATATTCTTCAACTTTTTTTCCTTTATAAGTTTTCATTTACTCAAGTTAGATGGAACTAGATACCAACCTATGAAAGCAACCTTTTTACAAGAAAAATATTTTTCATGGTCGGGAAACAAATTCTTCAGGAAAAAGTTATGTAATTTTTTAAGTTATCATAATATCTAGAAGAATGTTTCTTCATACCCCATAAATTATTGGGGATGATTGGTTGAACCGTAGCTGTAAAAATTTTACTGTAGAAATTAGTTTGTAGAGTTTTTTTATTTAGCTGTAAAAGATGTAGCTTTAAAATTTATTGCTAGAGCAACATATTTTCGACAGCAACATATTTTCTACAGCAAAAAATATTGGTCTTTAGAAAATAAGGATTTTACAACCATTTAGTTTTTGGTAGTAACTTTAAAAAATAAGATAAAGCATGATTGGTGATTTAAGTGCTGTAGATAAAAATTAAAATTAAAGTAATCATTTACAACCCAACCAATCACCCTCATTATATTTATTATATTTAGTGATTCAAAGAATTTGTTTTGGTTTGAAAATTTGATAATCAGAAGTCGTGGCCCGACATTTAAATTAACTCCAATTTGTTTAAATTTCCATTGGGCTTAATTACGACGGAATTGTGTTGGGCTTAATTTACATTTTGAATCATTAATATATGTATCCTTAATTCTTTTTGTTTTTTCCTTTCTTTCGTTACGCTACTGTTCTTTGCTATCTCAAGATCTAAGAGATCTCCATTAGAGTCTCATAAAGGGGTTCACTCCTTTCCCAAAAAAAAAAAAATTAAAATAATATTATTTGGGTGAACCTCTCTCTAAAAGGTTCATGATAGTGAACCTGGTTCACATGGGGTTCGCCACGTGGCGACACCCCATTTGTCCGAATTTCTTTTTTTTTTTTTCATATTAATATAACGAAACCTTCAGTGGTACAAACAAAAAAACTCAATGTAAAACAATGAATTATAAAAATAAACTTGAAAACTAAAGCTAAAGATAAAACAAGTAACCATAAAAATGTGAGTGATTGTGGTTTTGATGTGTAGATCTTAAGTGAAGCCTTAAAAATGTGTTTTAGGGTTCTGTACGTCTTAGATGAAAGTGAATACAAAGTCTTAGGTAGGAAGATCTTTTCGTTATACTAAGCTAAGAAATAGATCTTTTAGGTATGATTCTAGCGTTTAGTAATTGGTAGTTTGAACTAGATTACATAAGTTAATAATAATATTAACTGTTCTTATCTTTTCTAGATATTGAACAACAGTAACATATACTATATGATTATGTAAACCAAAATGTCACAACAACTATATAGAAAATGAAGTTACAAAAAAAACTATATAGAAAACGAAATGAATCTTATTATATCGGTCACTTAGGTTATGATTGGTAACAACAATGCGGTGCGTAATTGATAGTACGGGTGCGGAATTGAACAAGTGCTCCCATTCATACATTTTGCAATTGAAAAGGCGTAATTGATATAAATAACGCACTTCGTAAATCGAGGAAAATTTCTTTTTTGTTTGTTCAGTATTTTAAACAAAACGCACTCATTTCATTTTCTTTCACTTATGGTGTGGGACGGAAGTTTATGTGCGTTTTTGTACAATACTATATTATTGTTAAGAAATGAAGATGGTGGTTGGGACATATCCGGAAATGGACCAGACCATATCAGTACCATACCAGGCGGCCAAGCATCAGTCACTATCCTCCCTTGTGTTTATCCATATGTTGTAGTTATCCTAATCATTATAGGATTAGGATAATCATCCCCTTTATTTGTAGCAATCCTTATCTCCTAAGGAATATGC